GCTGTCTGCTAGCCCAGCAGAGAAGCAAGATGGCTAAACGGGCCAAGGGGGGAAGGGGAAGGTTTGAGGAGGAGGTGAGAGGGAGACAGGCTTTCAAAGAAAGCACCTCCGTGGTTCCACCACTCTAACTCTCTAAATCTGCGCCCACACAGCACACAGGACCACGTGCACCCGTCCTGGTCACTCGCTCACTATTCACGCTGAGCCCTCGGGCCCTCCCTGCCCGCAACCGCACGGTCTTGGTGGCCACTGAATCGACTGGCTCATTGCCCCTCACTGCCCATCCATAGGGGTGTCTTTCCCACTCCCATCTGTGGAGCGGGAAGGGAGCCCACACAAGCCTCCATCTTTAACTCCACTCCAAGCCTAACCCGGCGGTTCAAACAGATTACTTGACTGTTGAGCCTCAGTTTTCCTCACCCGCCAGGTGGAGTTTCCCCGAAACCCACTAGCTCACTCCTTGGCTCTCTCATTCTTGGCTGTTCTAAGGAGTCACCTGTCTCTCAGAGGGCCGCGCTAGGCAGGTCACCACCGCAGAATTGCGGTTCTGTGACTTCTCCCCTGTCCTGCCTGTCTCCTGGAGATGAGAGAACATTTCCCAGGGCACCTCCTCCTCTGGGGGCCCACGGGTTGGGGTCTGTATTGATGGTTGTCAGCAGCCCAGCCTCGACCACGTCGTCTGGGTCTCACTGTCTAGCCCTGAGCACTGGGGACAGAGCCTGGGTCTGCATCTCTGCCTCCCAGCAGCCCCTCGCCGAGCACAGAGCGCAGCGTCTGCCTGCACGTCCTGGCACCTTCTCGAAGGAAGCGTTCAGACCAGAACAAGGAAGAAGTGGCAGCAGCGGGCAGGCCTCCCTGGGTGGAGGCGCAGGAAGGTCCCGCCTGGGAACACAGTATCAGGGGTGTGGCTCTGCAGGAGGCGTCCGTGCCAGGTCTCCCTCCCTGCCAACTTGGAAGAAAGGGAGGAACCCCCTTGGTGACAGAATAGGCAGGTCCCATAGCAGGCAGCTTCAAGGCAGCTGGGGATGGGGGCTAGGGCTGGAGACACAGACCTCTCATGGGTCAGGACCGGGGCTGCGCAGCCAGATCGCTAAGCATCAGAAAGAAGACCCCCAGCTCTGCCAAGGTGGGGAAGGGTGGAGAGGGCCCTGATACCCTTGGAAGCCACAGCTGGCCTGAGGAGGGGATCTGGGTTACCATGGAGCAAGCCCCTGGAGTGCCTGTGTGCCACCGTGTGTGCTCTGCTGCCCTCCTATGGACATATGTGGTAAGTGCACACAGGCCGCATGGGCTTCACCCACATTTTAACTCTGGTTATTCCCTTCTCCCCTGCCACACCACCCTTCCTAGTAAATGACACTTTCGAAACCGTAGGTACACACCATGAGAATCATCTCCCAAACACCACAGAGAACACTCCATTATTGGCACTTGTTTGAGCCTGAGTAAATGTCAATACTAGCTTATTGAAATGTATGCAAATGAGAAAGAAAAAGAAAATTCCCGAAGTTGTATATATTACTTTAAAAATTATTTAATTTTTAAATTAATTAATGAATGTATTATTTGATTTGCTATAGGGCACATACACTCACAAGAGAGACAGAGAGAGAGAGAGGGAGCAGCCACCCAGTCTGGACACACAGGTGGAGCGTCAACGGCTTTCAGAAGGTTGGTCACAATCCCTAATGAAACAATGCAGCCTTGTTTGTAGACTCAAAGGCCCCCAGCGTTGCCCCTGTCCCTGATAAGTTTTCAGCTAGACTAGTGGTTCTCAAAGTGTTGTTCCCAGGCCAGCGGCGTCAGCATAGCCTGGCTATCTATCAGAAGTGCAAAGTCTAGGGGCTGGCAGGTGGCATAGTGGTTGAGGCATTGAACTCCCACATGACAGACCATGGTTCAAGTCCTGGACCTGGCTTGCTTTCTCACTTTCTCTCTCTCTCTTTCTATGTGTGTGTGTGTCTCTCTCTGGCCAAATTAAAATGAATGATAGAATAAATAAAACTAAATTAAAAATTTTAAAAGGAAACGCAAAGCCTAGACCCTCTAAATCAGAAACTCTAGAAGTGGAACCCTGCATCTGTATCTTATTTATTTATATTTTTAAAGATTTTTGCTGAAGGGTGCGTGTGCTCACTGGACAGAGACAGAAAGTGAGAAATCATCCCTAAGGATAGATGGCCACATTGCAATCCCTTCTCTTCCATTCTCCTCTCGGGATTTGGGGCATGCATACCCATGCACCCAGCATGAGTTTTAAGCTGCCGGGGCTGGGATTCATACTGCAGTCAACTACATAGGAGTCCAGTGACGCAACCATTATGCCATCTGTTGGTCCCCAGCATCGGTATTTTAACAAATCCTGCAGTGAATTTTTTTTTGAAGTTTGCTATAGAGGGTGTACACTCACCAGAAAGACAAAGACAGAGAGAGGGAAACTGAGAAATCACTTAGCAGATGGTCATGCCTCAATCCCTTCTCCTCCATTCTCTTCTCAGGATTTGGAGTACACATGTGCATGTACCTGGCGTGTTTTATAAGCTATTGGGTCCAGGACTCAAACTGTGCAGTCAGCCATGTGGGATCCAGTCGCCTTGACCTCCACGCCACCTGCTGGCCCCTTCTAATGAGTCTGATGTGCATGCGAGTTGGAGAATTACTATGTAGGGAAAAACGATGCATGCGTAGACCAATGGTCACAACCCAACAGCCCAAGTGGGCTCCCCTGAGGAAGGGATCTTGGAGGCAGAGTCTTGCAGGAAGCATAGTGTCCCTGGTTAGCAGAGGGACAGGCTCTTGCAAAGGCCTGGACACGTGGAAGAAAGGCTTATGCCGAGGAAACCACACGCAAGTCAGAGGAGATCAGAGAGCAACCCGGGCATGTGGGAAGTAAGCGGGGCCGCATTGTACAGCCTTTTAAGAGCCTGAACAGGGGTTTTAGATTTTATCCTATAAGTGACCGGAAACATTTTAATGGAGAGTGATACTACCAAAAGCATTCTAGAAAAAAGGCACTCTTGTAGCATTATGGCCTGAAGGCAGAAAGCTCCAGTGGGAAGCTACTAGAATGATCCCAGAGACAGGCCTGCTGGGGTGAACTTGGACAGTGGCCGCAGGGAGCATGAGAAGAGGGCGGGCTGAGAGATACTGAGGAGACCTGACAGGACCCCTGGGGAGGGGGGAGGGGAAAAGGCCAAGGACATCCCTGCTGGTTCTGCCCTGGTACTGCTTCTCACAAAGGTCCAGTCTGCACACGCTGTACTGGGGCGCTCAGGGGGACGCTCCGGACCGGCAGCTGCCATGGGGGTTGGTTTGCTTCTGCTGTGCATCTCCCAGCGTCCCTTGTTCATTCATCCGTTTCTGCAAATACAGGTTTCTATCCCGTACCAGAAAGGTTTAGGGCGGGGCAGAAAACAACATAGCCAGAATCTGCTCTCAGGGCTTGTCCGACAGTGCGGAACACCAGCAATAAGTCAGCAGACGCATATGTACAAACAGGTAGTGGGAAGTGCTAGGGAGAGAAGAGAGTGTGGGGAGGGAAGCCTCAGGTGAGCAGTCAGGAGGGGCCTCTCAGAGGAGCTTAATGGAGCTACAGAGCTCAGAGCTCGGAGCTACGAGTGATGTAACAATCAGAGCCAGGTGTGTGACCACAGGAGAGACGTGTTCCCAGGCAGAGGGACCGGCATGTGCAAAGGTCCTGAGGTGGGGGTGCGTCTGACAAGACGGAAGGAAGGACAGATAAAAGCCAGCAGAGTAGAGGAGCTGTCTGATAACGAGAGATGAGGCCAGAGTGGAGGACGAGGCCATAGCAGGTGGCCAGTTTTAGTCACCGAGGAGATGAGGCGATGTATATGAACGTGCTCAGGAAGAGATCTTGGGGACTGAATGGGCACAGAGAAATACCAAGATGGTATCTGCAAGGAGAAAAGAAGACAAGTTTTGGACTGCAGCGAGGATTTGGGTTCCCTCTTAGGGAACGCTCAGGCTATGGGAGCCTTGCGACGTCAGAACTCTTTCCAGGACAGGTCATTTGCAGTGTTCTAGTTTTGTTTTAAGATGATGGCTACCAGCCACGCTGGCACAAGTGCTGGCTGTTCTTGAGGTGGGGGAAAAGGGGCCTTTCCTGGTTTGAGGAGTGAGGATTTCGGGCAGAGGGTCCCTCCCCACTGGCTGGGCTGTGGCTCCCCCTGGCGGTGCCAGTGTTCCAGCTGGCACCGTACCATCCCTGCAGAGCTGGAGGCCAGACCAGTGGGAGGCCCACAGGCCCGAGCACGCTGTGTCTCGCCTACAGGAAGGAGGCCAGGCCCAGCCCAGCCGGGAGACGGAGAGGCCTAGGCCAAGGCGAGGGAAATGAGTCCTTCGGGTGGCTGTGGACCACCTCAGCCCAGTGAGCTGTGTCTTCAGCTTCCGAGGCCAAACCCAGGTGCACCTTCAGCTGCAGGACACCAGGAGCCACCCTGGCCCCCAGAGGGACCTGACCAACCACCACGAGAACAGCAGCCACAGAGCCACACCTGCCACCCCAGCTTCGCAGGTGCCTCATCCCAGAAAGAAAGCGACTGGCCCGGCCTCGCCACCGCCAGCCAGCTTCCTCTATTCAACCCCCACTCAGATCCCACATCCCACCGCCTCCCAGGGAGCACCGCCACTCTGGCCCCTTCCTCTGGATTTTCTCCGTGTGTCTAGAACAACCTCTGTCCCGGACTCTGCTGAGCCACCTCCTTCCCACCACGCAGCCCCACCCGGCCCCCCACCCACCCACCACACCCCAGAAAACTTTCTGTGATTGACTCTGTTATCGCCCAAGCCAACTCAAACACGCACAGACGCACACACGCTGTCTTCACCTGCCTCGACAGCCATGGCACCTCCTGACCCTCCATAGACCTGGTGCTGCCTTCTGTGGAAAACCAAACCATTGACCCCCTTCCCTCCTGAGGCAGCCTCTGTGATGAGGCCCGGGACAGGGCCACCAGCGGGACCAGAGCGGTCTCACTCACTTGATGAAGTACACGGCTCCCTCCCGGGTGGAATCCGTCTCCCAGCCGGCGGGCAGACCTGCAAGGAAGGAAACGCACAGCGTGAGGCGCCCTGGGCCTCCCCTCTGCCAGCTCAGCCCACAGGCCCGCCTGGAGGAACAGGGCCCTGGACGTCAGGAAGACCCACAGCTAAACCCAGCAGGCTCAAGTCCGCCATTTCATTCTTCGTTGTCCATTATTTTTTGGCCCATCTTTCATTATTTGATGGCACCTAGCACCTAAGCTGCCGGCAAGTTAACGAGAGATGGCCGTGGCTGGGCCTCTGCCGTTGAGCAGTGAAGTGACCAAGTGAATCCCTGCCTGACGGCCGCCACTCAGTCACCCAACAAAGCTCTGCAAACCCGTGTGCACCTGCTCTGCCAACCTGCAGGATACAGCAGGGGACACACAGTTGCCCTGCAAGTGCCCTGAGGATCATCTGGTCAGCCCGCTTAGATCACAGTGGAAGCTGGAACCAACAGGGGTGACTCAGCCTAGGACTTGCAGTAATTACCCCCAAGATCCAACCTGGACTCAAGTCTTTGAACCCCAGGCCAGGGTTGTCACCTCCAGACTGCTACTTTTGACAGGACACCAAGGACCTGGGGAGTCAGTTCCAGGAAAATGGAGACTTCTTTTATTTTTTAATTTTCTTTTTCTTCTATTTTTTTTTTCTTTTTTTAGAGAGAGAGATTTTTGCTATAGGGCACATGCACTCACCAGAGAGACAGAGAGTGATAGAAAGTGAGAAATCACCCCCCGGGGGGGAATGGCCATGCCTCACCCCCCAGGAGAGATAACCACACCACAGTCCCTTCTCCTCCCTTCTCCTCTGGGATCTTGGACATGCACGCACACACACGCCTGGTGTGGTTTTCAGGCCACCGAATTCAGGATTCATACAAACCATGGTCAGCTATGTGGAAGTCCAGTGACGCAACCACTATGCCATCTGCTGGTCCCTGGAAGTTCATTTAAAAACAAACCAACCAACCATTTATTTATTTATTTTGACATCTATTTATTTATCTATTTATTTGTTATGATTTTGGGGCTGCCAGGTCCAGGACCTGAACCATTGTCGGCCATGTGGAAGTCCAGTGCCTCAACCACCATGCCACCTGCCAGCTTCCCTGGAAGTGCATTTAATGTGCATTGCAACAGGGTACAATGGGTGTCAGCCCATACATTTGTACAGATGAAGAAACTGAGGCCCAGACAGGTTAATCAACTTGCTTAAGGTCACGCAGGAAGTGTCTGGGCCAGGACGTGAGTGCTGGTTACTGCCTCTGAAGCCCACACTCCTTCCTCTGTGCAGCTCCATAAATGCTACTTGTTCCCCTCTGTCCCTGTGGGAGGACCTTCCCATTCAGAAGGGCGTGGGTTGGCAGTCTCTCCAAGTAGAGGGATCCCCATTGGGTCAGAATCATAAATAATTCTGCCACTGTGATGTGCCTGGGAAAGAGGCCAGGGTGGATTATGTCCCCTGCTTTTTCTAGCAATTTCCCTCCACACTGCCCTCTCTGCCCGGGCAACACCAAAGCACTTATAGTCCTATCCAGGCGAAATGCCCGCTGAGACAGCTGCCCTCCCGGCAAGCTTCAGGGCC